CACAAAGCCAACTGGGTGACTTTGGGAGAGTCACTTTTTATCAACCACAGGTAGGAGGCAATAGCAATCAATTTCCAAAAACTTTGCAAGGAAACTGCAATAACTTTTCCAGGTAGCCACCAGGAGTCAACACTGACTTAAAGGCACACACGTATACCCAAACCTGTTACCCCTAAATTAGATTACAAGCATCTATAATTATAGCCTTTCAGATGCTGACTTGTATATAAACATCATCCCAATGTGAGCCAGAAGATATCAGGCTCCGCCTGCCTGCTGAACGATCGTTTTGCAATTTGCTTGGCCTCGCCAATATTATGCTCCTGGCTCTGGTTGGTCTATGCCCCAAGATACTAGTAAAAAGATAAAGCATACCCTACAAAACTGAAGCCTTTCCTCTGCTGCATCTGATCTAATCAAGCCAGAGCATTGGAAGAGACTAGACACTTCAAGTGAGCCCAACTTGTATAATTCCAAGGATAATTTGTTTCTCATTTAGAACAGACATTAAAATTTTGCATGTCTGCAGTTCATGTCTCATACCTGCAGAGTCATAAAGTGTTCCCAAAAGTAGTTAGCTGTTTTGGTCTCAGAACGCCCCACAAATCTAATAAAGGAGTAACAACAGTGCTCCACTTTGCAAAGGCTAAAGAAGGGAGGGATATGTTTTCTGACAAATATTATTTTTTGAATTCTATCATTTTTCTGTTCTCTGCTAGGATTTAGTTTTCTTTTTGTAAGTGATCTATCTCTTCCTCTACCATACCACTCTCTCCATTTTTCAAATTATCAAGGTAATCAACAGCTTCCAATACTTTCACCTGCTGAATTTTGTACTAACATGGCAAATTCTCATCCTATTAACTCTGGAACAATTATAATACCTTTTAAATATTTTGACAAAAGCAGACAGTCAAATACAGTTTTGGACTTATATATATTTCAGATTTAATTCAAATATTTCTCCTCATGTTATCATAATTTCTACTTTTGCTTAATATTGAAGGCTTAATATATATTATTATATTATATATGATTATATTACATTAACATGAAATATCTACGTAGGTTGTTATGTAGAACAAAAGTATCAGCCATTTTTTTTGCATGTACAAATTTATGTACATTTCACGTTACTAAAATCTGAATCTGAAGTCAATGTACATTTTGTAGTGCAATTAATGCAAACTTAAAGGTTTTATTTAAAAATCTGACAGATTTCAAACTCTGAACTTATTCAAATTGATAAAAATGAGGGGTGAGGTGATTATAGTACAGGTGAAATACAAAAAGGTGTTGTATTTAACTGGACAAAATATTATCGTTTTAAGAGAAAGCTGATCAGAACTCCTGCAGGAGAGGAGAAACAATTAGAAGCAAGGTAGAGAATTTCTGTGGAATCTTAATGGCTAAATTAGCTTTTAATTAAGCAAACGTAGAGGCCAAGCCGTAACAAAGTTACTCATTAAGGTGCTGCAGTATTATAATAAATGTGTTGTGCTCTTTAGAATGCCACAAGGCTGTCTGTGGTTAAAATTTCATCTCTATTGGTTTTTTTAAAAAAGGCTATTAGTAAGTTTTTTAAAAATCACAGCATCAGACCTACTATGCTCAAATTGTTAGGCTTTTCTTAGCAACCAGCATAGTATACTCACGTATTCATTATCTATATATCCATGAGACAGTAAATGTCACAGATTTAAAATGTTTGGCTTTGCAGAGTGTTGGAGCTATGTTGTTATTGAACAATATAGCATTGACTTTTCCCTGCCACAAAACTATAACAATGAAGTGCAAGTAATTTGCACCTTGGCTGCCTTGCAGATTGCCCAGTGAAGGAAGCTATACAGCAAACAGCCTTGTGACTTATAAGTGATTTAGGGGTTCTGGCAAAGTGGCAAGCAAGTTGGCACTGCCTTGAATCTTGCATGCCCGAGGCTAGCTTTGAACTCATAACTATGGTTTGATTGGATAAGCTCTCATCTTTTGAATCATTGCATAAATATTTAGCTACAGTTGTTAAACTGTGACATAATTAATGGATCAACACAGATTTGCAAATCTCCCACATCCTTGTTTGCAAGAGGCCCCCCGTTTCTGGGCTCTCAATGGGACATTTATGCTGACTGCAATCTTTATAGGTTTCTGGGGAAGTAAACATCAGCTCAAGATTTCTTCTGCAGTTGCTGAGGCTGGCAGGACTGTTACACAGTGTAGAGCTGGGAGAAAGAAAGAAGGAAGCCCAGAAACAAATCAATTGCTTAACAGGGCTTGTGCTTGCTACCCAATAGGGTTTTTCTTCTTCTCTCTGCCCCTCATACATACATATAAGAAATAAAAAATAGAAAAGCTGGTTACTATCATATTCCTGACTTGTTCTGATTATCTGCTCCTTTCCCCATAACGTCATATGCTAGAAATTCTCTGCAGCCAGTCACTAGACAAAGGATAGATCAGAGGACTGAATGCATTATACTGGCTTTCTCCAACTCAATGACCTCCAATTTTGGCCATTTGTAGTTGGAGTGGATGAATCTTACTGTTCAAGAGCAAATGGAGGACACCACATTAGGGTGAAGTATGTCAGTATGTTTGTGAAAAAAGAGTAAACACTGAAAGATGAAGACTTTGTCGGAGAACAAAAAATCCCTTCTCCACATATTAATGGGATACGTGCATATGGGTATTTTAAACTAGACACTTTAAACTTAAATGTAAAGTCAACCCTTTGTTTATTGCACCCTTCCCAATCTGCCTCTTCTGGATGGGTTGAGACTTCAAGGGCCAAGAATTCCAGCCAGATTGTGCTGGCTAAGTATTCTGGGAAGTGTAGTCTCAAGGCATCCAAGGGCCAGGTTACAAAAGAGCGGACTACCCTATTGTGAAACAGAATTCAAATTTATAACATTGAGTCTCATATTAAATCTCATACAGTGACTTGGAGGGAGTTACATATGCACTGCAGTAACAAATAGAGATACTAATAAAATGATAATTTCAAACTTACAATCTCAAACTTGTAAACAGAATTAGACCCTTACCTTGGAATGTAAGAAACTACCTTATACTAGCTTAGACCATTATTCATCACATGAAAATTGCTGATATTAATTAACAGCAGCTTATCAAGCAGAGATGTTTCCCCATCCATTTCCCATCATTTGAGCCAAGCCTACTTTGACCCTACAATTGAAATATCAATGGAGGTGGGATTCATGGCTTAACACATAGCAGGACCTGGGGGTCACAGAACCTTACATCACAATTTTCAACTGCACAGAGATGTTTCCTGGCAAAATAAATGAATAAATAAAAAATACCATGGTTCGGGGCATGCTAAATTTGAAGCAGAAAGAAAGTAGAAGGAGTCAGGAAGAGAAATTGGCAACTCTCAAAGCCAAAACAATGGGAAAACCATTTTGGCTAGACAGAGATGGGGTTTTTTTTACTCATGGCTGCCTGTCTGCTATGATAGTAAAGCCTGGTCTAATTTTTAAGATTTCTAATTTGCAGATTCCCAAACTCAACTAGTCACATGGTCCTTAGATATATAATCCTGGCCACATCATCCATAAACCAACACTGTTGGGAGTAAAACCCTTGATCAAGCACAAGCAAGGTCTCTGAGGATAACCTTTATTTCTGTGAGAGCTAAGCATCAAGCGATTCAAACTGTAAAGTTTGTCTAAATGTCAAGGGATTCAAAAGAGCCTAAAGAGAAACCCACTTTTTATATTTCTACAGCATCATACACATAAATATGATAGCCTGAAATGTTGTAAGCAATAAAAGCACCATGAATTTACTGCAAAAATGGTGGCAGAAAATTTAGTCTGATTCAGGGAAAATGCAAATCCACAAATTTAGATTAGACATGCCTCAACTTTGGCCTTCAATCATAGGAGCTTCCCTTTCTGTGCCCCTTGAAAGTTTCCCTTTTTATGATTGTGTATCTGATTGAGCTATTTTTGGTTTTTCGAAGCTAGAACAGTTATTTTCACCTCTCCCTTGCTTATTGCTCCTTCAAGTTCAAAGCCTTTCTAGATCTAAAATCTATGTTCCTTAGATCTTCTGCCAGGCCACAGATAAACTGAGTCCATGAGTATTTAGTTGGAAGCCCCAATATCCATATATCTACTGCCATCATTCTCTTTATCCCAATACCAATAGAAAAAACCTGTGGGAAATAAAATAATTGATTTTCCTTTGAAATTTAAATAGTAAAATGGCCCAGTAAAAGGTCTGGGATCACTGAAAGGTGATGTCACCAGACTGTTGCTCCTTGACTCCCTAAAACAAACTTTGAATGCAATGGAATGTCATTGGCCAAAACAACCCAAGCAGTTTTCTGAAGTTGGGCAGGTTGCTTTGGCTCATCTTAGAATCTGTATTTTTGTTTTGATTTGGTGAAATGGGGTCTTAATGGTTGCCCAAGCTGTTTACCTTAAGATAGTCCTAATGTCATTGTGCCAAAGTGTTAATATTGTAGCTAGTTTGTATTAGCTGAATTTTATTTTCTATCCTTCTTTACTTCTGCTGCCTTGGTAAAAATATCATATCCCTGACATTTTGCCTGGGGTGGGAGCTAAATACGACTTCTGTCTTCCCAGAGTCAAGTACTATTGATATTAAATATACACAGTGCCTTTGTAAAACTAGAGGAATGGGATGATATTTTGCCCCAAGAAAGAGAACAGATCCATAAAATCTATAGCCACATATGATTTTTTGGGTCTCACTCTTGATTTTTAAATATAAAAGGCCTCAATATATAGATTCTTTAGTTATACTTTAAGAGTGCCTGTCCTCTGGTAGGCAAACCGTGACTCAGGGGAGAGGGAAGAGAGTTTGCTCCATGATAAGATCCTGGCCTCATCCTGGGCAGTTCCACGTAAAGCTCTCTGTGCAGGCCTTGGAGGGAAAACAGGTGGAAAGCTCATTTCTGCAAATGCACAAGACAGGATCACAACAGTTGCTGTACCGAACAGCTCTGAACTTACCTTCCTTGGGCAGATGGCAGTACAAGAGCCAGAAGAAAAGGAGACAGCCAAGTATAGCACTTATCCTGGTAGACAGCTCTCTCCAACTGGCCAGCATTCTTATAGAGGTTTCCCCAGATGGGCCACCAGCAGGGGCCAAAGGAGGATGCCCCCCACTACCAAGTTCAGCCTTTTTCTAAATCCAGCTATAAGGGGGTGTCTGCCTGGCACAGAGGAGATTCTGCTGTGACTGGAGCACAGCTGCATTCCCTTTCTGGCAGAGCAAAGCTGTAGGTAGCAGCATTAGGCTTTCAAGAGAGAATGTGCAGGTCCAACTGCAACTTCCCAGAGTAGCCCGGCTGGGTTGTTTAGGATCGGGCGCTTCTCGATCTAGAGTCCAGGGGTACCAGAAGTCTTATTTCTTAACAAGGAAGAGGATCCCTCCCTTTTACATCTTATCCTGGACATCAAGCTCCGCCCTCGCTGTAGCCGAGAAGGATGTTCTTGAAATCCCGATTTGCACCAGTTAATTGCTTGAAAAGTAACCGTGGGGTTGCAGCTTTGCGGGACCCCGCCCCTTTCCTTGGGACCAGCCAAAGTCCCGGCCGTGCGCAGTTCGATTCTTGACTTATCTATAGCTTTTCAACAACCGCAGATGCCGTTTGTGCCGCTGCTGCTTTTTCCCTTCGCCGTCTGACGCGGTTTGCCAGGCGCAATCTTCGACACCACGATCTCCCCCGCCAGAGCCCACCCGAGAGCTCGCCTCCCCGCCTGCTGCACTGCTGCCTGCTCGGCCGGCCTTCCTCGGCCGCAGGGGAAAGCTTTCATCCTCGGCTGCGGGGGAAGCCTGGGGAGGAGGGGGGAGGGCAGAGGAGCGGAGCCTGCCAGCAACAAGCTCCCACCCCGCGCACCCTTTGGGCCACACACGATCTCTCCAGCGCCTCCCGGCCGCGCGTGTCGCGTCGCGCCTCTGACTTTGGCTACCTGTGGCAAGCGCTTCTCCTCTTGGATCCGATCGGGCGCCCAGCAACAAACAGCGATCTGCCGGGGCGGCGAGAGGATTTCTTCGATCCCGGTTTTATCAGGGAGGAAGGCGAAGTATTGGGGGGGGGGGGGGGTTTGCGCGCGTGCTAAATAGAGAGGCGGGGAAGTGTCAGGAGCTCAAACGGGGGGCTCACGGCCCCCTTTCCCCTCAGAAACAGAGTCTCGCCCCTCCCTCCCATACTTTCGGGCTCTCCGCAGCGGGAGAAGCTTGGCCCGTTCTCCGCGACCGAGAAACCCCAAGCAAAGCCGCTGCGGTGACCGCCGCTCCGTTGGCGATTCCGGATTGTAAAGAAAAGCCACGGAAGGAGCAGGGAGCAATTCCAGCCGAAGCGTCGCCAGCTTCCTTAGTTCAGCGCTCCCCTCGGAGACGTCTGGCCAGCTTCGCGCCTCTGCAAGGGGGGCAGCGGCATCCCTGCTCCAAGCGGCCCCGCGCTAGCCCTGCAGCCTTCCCCCCCCGCCCCCAACCCGGCGGGTGCAGGGTATCTTCTCCTCCAGGTCGCGCCGACGAAAGATCCGAGGAAAGTTTCTCGCTTGCTTGCTCGCTCTCTCTTTGCCCGCGAGCGGCTCTTTCTCCCCACTCGGCGCTCCGAAGCAGCAGCGCCGGCCTCTCCCGTTCTCCGCCGGTCGGTCGCCTCCCCAGACTGAGACCCCCCCCCCCGCTCTGAATTCTCCTTGGCGGAATGTCTCCCTCCGCTTAACTCTTTCCGCGCTGCAGCCAGTGCCGGCTGCTGCCCGAGCCGCTCCGAGCTGCTGGTCTGCTGCCGCATTCCCTGCCCGCCGCTGCTTTTCCTTCAGGCGGCAAGAGTCCTGCTAGGAGTGGGCTTCGCGTCCCCCTCCCCTAGCAAAGGTGAAAGCCGCAGGGCATGGGTGGGCCGAGGAATGCAGCATTCCGGGCTTGTTGGTTCAGCCTGGCAGCGGAAACCCCGGAAGGAGCAGCACGCCTCTTGCTGGGGGTTGGCTGAGGATTCAGTTTTTCACGCCGGACCTGCTTGGTGGCTGAAGGACGGCGTCAACTGCGGGGTTTGCGAGCGGGAGAGGGGGGGGGGGCGTGGAGGAGATGCTCGGCTGGATACGGCACAAGGCTCCCCCCCCTTCCTTCTGTGGGACAGGGACGGCGGCCTCGGTGGGGCGGCTTTGCAAGCCGAGGCCACCGGGAGCGAGGAGTAAAGCTGTGGCGCGCAAGGGGAGCGGGTAGGGCAGGGGGTCCGTCTGGGGTGGGTGGGGGGGGACGATGTTTCCTGCTGAAGCCGGGGTGCGATCGATGGCTTGTACGCCCCGATCTAGGGACCTCCCCCGAAGGAGGGTGCTTTCCTACGCCAAAGGGTTCTTCTCCTCTCGGTTCATTTCTCAGATCGCCTGGGACGCCCTTCCAGTCTTCCCCAACCTGATGCCCTCCAGACGCGACCCCGGTCGAGCGAGCCAGCCAGCCAGCCAGCAGGGACTCTGCGCCGTAGAGACTGGGGACGGTGGGGAGCTGCGGTTCCACGCACCGCTGCTTGTTAGCTCAGAATCTTTCGGCCAACTCTTATTGCAGTACAGATTGTAGGTGTCTGCTTTGCCAAAGAAGGTCCTGTTTCCGTAGATTGAACAATGGAATAAGGACAGTTTTAGAGGGTTTTGCCCTGGAGGGGGGGAGGGGCGGCCAAACAATATATCCTAAGAGAAAAAGAGAAGGGATTTTTACTTATGACCTGGAAGGAGTTCTTGAGTTACAGGTAAATTTTAGATCTGGATTATGTATGTCAATTCAGTGAATTGAGTGGGTCCTTTTTTTAAGAATAAGAAATTGGAATCTGCTCCCCATTGAATTGTGTTTCCCCTGAAGTTTCACAGCTGAATCCTAAAACTCAGTTTGTCACTAGGAGATAAGGTGGCATTAACAGTCTAGAGTGCCTTTTACCTGCTTTGGATGCCTCATCTATTCCAGCCTTGGACCAGACATTTGGCCATGTCTGTTGCGCTGGCCTTGACTGCTGCAGTATTTCTATGTGGACTTGCTCCCAGCTCCTTTGGAAACTCAAATCTTCAATGGGCAGAATAAACTCATGCAACCATTTTCATCACAGCATCCTGTTGCTGGCTGGTAATCAGAGAGCAAACATATTTTGAATTCAAGATATTTCAGGTTGTAATTTTTGATTTGCATTTGAAATGAGTTTTGAAATGTTTGAACTCAACACAGCTCTAAGCAGAGTTTAAAGCACTTTGTTTTGAGTTGGAAATGCTTTCAGAATTTTTAAAACAGCCCATTTTGAACGCAAAGGAAATATTTGGAACTCAAAACAGGGCATTTTGAATTTAAAACAGAGTAGATGGAAAATTAGCATGCCTGTGCTGGTGGATAATTCTTGAAGTCCCAACGTATCTGGAGGGTGTATAATATTATACATTTGATTAGATGAAGAGCAGTTTATATATTCCTGAATAAAGAGACAATACGCTATCCAACTGCATACATAATACAGATACATATAAATATAACACACTTGTGCCCTATAAATTACACAGATTAACACACAACTAGGTTATTATGTGTATGACCTAGTTTCATTTGCATCTTTTTCATACCAAGAGAACAACACAAAATATTTTCTCATCCTTTGAAATGCTCCTCAGATCTTGGTCTTTTGGAAAATCTGCCTATCTGTAATCTGTCAGATGCTGCATTATTTTCAAACTTACATACAGATTTGTAACAGTTACATTTATATCCTGCTTTTCTTTGAAAGGAGAAGAAAGGGGCAGCATAGTGGCTCAGCGGTTTAAGATGCTTGGCTTGTTGGCTGGAAGTTCGCAGCTCCTGCCAACCTAGCAGTTTGAAAGCATGCAAATACGAGTAGATTAATAGGTACCACTTCGGTGGGAAGGTTACAGCATGATTGACATCATGTTGGCCACATGACCATGGAAATGTCTTTGGACAGTGCTGTCTCAATGGCCTTGAAACGAAAATGAGCACCACCCCTCTATGGTCAGCAATGACTAGCGAAGTAAAATCCATAGTGACTCCTTTATCTTTTTACCTTCTAAAGAGATTTTTGATCGTGGTAAGAGAATTTTCCCAAACTCTGTTTGAACTGAATACTAGGATGCATTATGTTGAAGCACAAATTTATTGAAAGCTCTGGGGGGAAAGACTTACTTTTTTTATAGATTTATGCAAATTAGATTATAGATGTAATTGGATACCGCAGCAAGGAGTGTGGCTGGATGTGAACAAAAGCAAGTATTTGATTGGCTATAATGCATCATGTGCCTAGTAAGGCAATCAGATGTAAAGCTGTGATAATGAGACAGGACTACAAAGACAAGGAGGCTTTGAAAGAACAAAGAGGCAGTTTCCCATTAGCACAGTTTCTTTTGAGGGATTCACTTGCTTGGTTTTCCAAAGTTTTGCTTCTTTCCCTGTACCTTTTCTTAGCTTATCAGCATTCCTTGGCCTTCTATATGTTTTATGGTTGAGCTGACAGTTTTAGTTTCCCTGGGAATATTTTATTGAGTTAGGGGCTTTTAGCTTGAGCCCCCATTCCAAAATTCTTTTTCAATAATTTCCATAAAGCCCTATGCCATATTATCCTCCCAACAATCCTCTGAAGTAGGTTAGGCTGAGAGATGGTGTCTTGTTCCAGATCATCCAGTAAACTTTCTAACTCCACTGTATTTGAATCTAAATTTCTGAAGTCCGAATGAGACATTCATACTCCTAATTTTATTCAGGATGCTGATGAATCCTGAGCTGTTTGTAAATATCAGTATCTGGTGAATGGAGATTCTAATTCATTCAGGTCATGGTTGTCCCAAAGATGCTTTCTCAAGAGGCAACTGAACTTTCTGGTTTTTCTTTGAAAACGTTTCATCTTCTCATCCAAGAAATTTCTTCAGCTTTCAACAGTTCCAAGAAGGCTCCACACCCATTTACATTACTCGGGTGACCCTGATGTCACAGATAAATCTCTAGGTGGTCTCAGTGACTCTCTAAAAGAATACAAATGACCAGCTATCTGCAAGAAGTATAAACCCTTCCATTCTCCATCATCCAGTCAGAGCGGAAGAAGCTTCTTGGATGAGAAGCAAAACATCTTCAAAGAAAAACCAGAAAGTCCAGTTGCCTCTGGGACATCTGGTGAATGTGTTTAGCAATAGTCATTTTTGTGCAGTTCAGTGGCAGAATTGGAAAGTGCAAAATGGGATATATTGGTTCAGCTGCAGGACGGTGATAGTCTCTTGGGACACTGGCCTTCCCTTCTTAGCCTGTCTTGCTCCGATATTAAGTAAGTTTGCTTTGGAGTTCACACTCTTTTTGGTTTTGCATCCTTCCTAGGCGGGAAGACATTCCTCCAAGGTCTTTTGCACTAGATTGACTTTCCTTCATTCAAATGCAGCAAAAAGAGCCTCTCCTTCTCCTATTGTCTGCTTCTCCTATAATGACAAGCCCATACCTTCACTCCTGACCCTCTCCTTTGATTTGGGGGAAATCAATACACATGTTCCACTACAGGAGTGCCTGTGACTGGTTTGTTAACTATGAGAGACCCTGAATGAATAGCACTCAGGTGGGTAATTTACCATCAGATCTGTGGGGATAAAGGGAAACCAATATAAATAGTCAGTAATAAAATTGTTTACTGACACTAGGCGTTCTTTAAAGAAGATTTGTATGCAGAGAAGTTCACCTCTGATAAGCTCTCCAGTTTACAATTATTGACTGTCTTGTCCAGTAGTGCTGGGGCTATTATTAGCATCAGAAAGCTGGGAGTCTCTGTCTTCATAAAGCACCTGATAATACTGTATTAATAAGGCAGGCAACCATATCAGAGTTGAAAAGAAGCCGGAGCAGAAGTCAGCATTATTAGTCCTGCTTAAAGAGTAATTGCTGAATGCTGTCAGGGCCAACATTTTTTTTTCCAGGGGGCAATGCACCAAGATCCATTAGATTTCTATTGATTTTTTCATCAAGTGAGAAGAATGCCAGAACTTCACAGGACTGGGCTTAAAATGCAGACATGGGAGCGTTGCAGACATTTATGAGAGTGGGTAATCGTCTCATAGTTTCCTCATATAGTATCTACATATAATATTATATAATCTGAGTAAATTGCATGGGTTTATCTCAGATTAATGTGTTGAAAAAAATACTGATCCCTCTCCCCCCACTATATTATCTAACAACATGCTTGCTTTGTAAGATGGGAATGTTCCCAAGTTGGTAGAGTGTTGCGGTGTATTTTTGTGGTAAGGGCCAAATTTATTTATACATTAAACTGCTCTGCCTTGGGAACCTTTTCATGTGTGAATGGCTGGTTGCCACTTAACTGCACCAGAGGGAAAACAAGTCTGTAGCAGTCTTTATTTCACTTGGCATATTTTACACCAAATTTAAGAGATGAAGTCTCTTAAGCGATACTAGCTAGGCTTGTGCAAGACGTAAGATGCGATTGACAAGAACAGATATAATCTTGCAGCAGTGAAATAATATAAATATCTCTTAAATTCCCAAGATGTTGGCAGTGGTCATTTGACATTTTTTTTGTTACAATGCATTTTCCAGGGAAATGCAGCATTTGAGAAAACAAGATTTTTCAGTACCCTTTTTTTTTTAAAAAAAATTATTTATATGCCGCCCTTCTCCGGAGACTCAGGGCGGCTTACAAGCCTTCATACTTTTGTATATTTTATACAAAGTCAGCTTATTGCCCCCAGAACCGGGTCCTCATTTTACCTACCTTAGAAAGGATGGAAGGCTGAGTCAACCTTGAGCCTGGTGAGAATTGAACTCACAGTAATTGCAGGCAGCTGAAAGCTAAATACTACCTTTTAACAGTAGCATTAGTCTGCTGCGCCACTCAGGCTCTTCTTCCCATCCCTTTGACGCTTTCTGAGATGTCTGCTGAAAGAAACAGAATCTGGGCCTTCCAAAATGGAAAAGTGAATATGCTGGACACTAAAACCAGCAAGGGCCACTTTTTAAAGCACTATCATAACTTCAATCAGTCACTAAATGAATGGTCATTAAGCGAGGACAA